AATATGGGCATATTTCAAAGGTTATATATATATTTATATATATATATATTTCGTTATGCATGTCAATTAATTTTTGTAACCCACTGAGTTTACTTAGTAAACTCAAACAATGAATTTAAATGTTTCAGGTAAGTTTTCCCTGATTTAAAAATGGATGAAAGAGAAAATTTGTCTACAAAAGGCGGCATGCAAATGACAACACGTAATTTATAATTATGTATTAGTGGCTCTTCAGATGCAGAAAGGAGTAAAATTGATGTTTTAAATATTGTTTTACTTTTGAATTGAAGTGATTTAATCCTATCGTCCGACTTAGTTCCCGCTTCGTTAAATCGAAAATCCGAGCCGGATCGTGACAGATCATTTGTTTTTTATCTTCTTCTTTTTTTATAGTTTGTGTTTATATTATTTTTTGTACTATTTGCAATTTTGTTTTGGCAGTTAGTTCTTAGTTTTTAATTTTTGTTTTTGGTTCTTAATTCTTTATTGTTGAAAACATGTTTTCTTTCATTTTAGATACTTAACATAGGAATTTCTCGTATATTGTTGATTTAGTATTGTTGGATATGCTTCTTTCTTCCATCTTAAATGCCTAACATAGGAAGTTCTAATAGCTTGTTGATTTAGTATTGTTGGAAATGTATTTTTCTTCCATCTCAAGTGTGTAATGCTAAAAAAGTATGTGGAATTTACTTGATTGGAACTTGCCTTTTGTGTTTGATCTTTCTATTTTTATATTTTGAGTTTTACATTTCTTTTTGTGCGATTAATAATTTTGGTTTGATTGTTTGTTCATAGTTCTTTATTTATAAATATTGAAAATAAAATAATATTCTTATAATTAGATGTATTACTCATTGCATACTTATTGCTATTGATTTAGTATTGATTAACATGTTTTCTTAACATAAAAAATTTGCTTATTGTGCATTCTTTTGGCCATTTTTGAGTCTTTTGTATGCATTGGACTGTCAGCATTATTTATTAATAAATGAATTATTCATAATATTTTTGCATTATCACAGAGTGATCATAACTATTATATTGGTGAATAATGAGTTTATGGTTTGATTTCATGTGTTGATTTCATTTATATCTTCATATTAAATATTAATATACTCATTTATTGTTTAATAATTTTAAAATTTTGATTCTATTTATAATTATTTATTTTTTATTACTCTGATAGCTCTAGCATTTGCAGCGTTTTAGCTAACTAAGAGTGATCTTATGATGGAATAGAATTTATAAATTTCATTAGATGGAATTTTTTTCAAACCCTAATTCTAAGTTAATGAGGTTTCCAGAATTATCATAGAATTTATAAATTTTATAACTAATTCAAATAAAATACTTAAAATACAAGATATAATTCTACAAATTCCTTGTAAATCCTAGAATCATAAAAAAATTAATTCAATTTGGTTTATAAACAATCAACATGTCTAATTGATTTTCTAATTCATAAAAAACAAGAAATATCTCCAATAGACATCAAATTTTTATGAGATCATCCAGCACATGTTGTCCCATTCAGAAAACCAAAAATATTACTAGAATGGATATTTTTCAGCAATTAGGAGCAAGGATAGTAAGCACACTTGCTGTTTTTTTTATTGAAAAACAATTAAAGAACCCTAATCCCTTCAAGAAATCATTTGGGAACCTAAAACTAAGTTCTAATAGAATTCTTGCAGATTCCAAAATTCTTCCACACATCTGGCCTTGGAACATGCTTGAAGCTTATGAATAATGATAATGGATGCAACGCATATAAAATTAGGATAGGTACTCACTACTTACTTGCTTGAAGCTCATGTAGAAGAACTGAAAAACGCTTTTGTCCAGTGCTTTTACCTTTATTATAATGCATCATAGGGTTACCTTCAAGTAAATAAACAATAAAGAACTTATTAAAAAATCTAAATTTCTCAATGTAAAGCATTAAAATTAAAAAAACATTCTCCATCCAATAACTGCACATAATTAATAATATGATGAAGCAACATATGGAGAACCGCCTAAGATGTACTATGTAATAAACAAATATCATGGATCAAAGATAATTTTATATAATTATAATATGACCATCAATTCTATATGAATTTGAGCATTGAGTGTTGGGTATTAAAAAATCCATTCACAATCAAGTTGTATGTGGCAAAAATGAGAATAATAAAATGGATGCATGGTAAAACTACAGAGAATAAACGAAGAAATGCCTACATTGTGTAAGCAAAACATATTAAAGATAAGATGATGGAATATAAAATTTAGTGATTTGGACATTTAAAATGAAATAGAAAATACAAGAATATCATCTGAATTTAAAATTAACATATAATGATTAAGAAAAAGTGGAAGAAAAAAGACAACATGCACGGCAAGATGAAAGAAAAATAGAAAATTTTCTTTATACAAAACATAAGTTAATAATTAGAAAAAAAGGTCAAATAGAAATCTAAAAAAACTGACATTATTTTTAAATTAATCTTGTCAATAAAATTATCCAACCTGTCTTACTGGTTGTTGTACATTAAATATTTACTGTAGAAAATAAGATAAATTATCAAAGATTGACGAAAGAAAATGAATATGAATACAACTAAAAAAATAGTATGTGAATGAGATTAAAACTGAAGTATTTTACCACCTTTCCAACTGACAACCTCAAACCGTGAATTAACTATACAAGAACGACAAAGGGAGCACATCTTAAAACTACTTCCACAATCTCTATTTCGTACAACCCAACGAGCATAAACTTCCTAGATGTTTATCCGTAAGAAAATCAAAGAAGAAAATCAAAAATAAAACAAAAAAATAACAAGCACAACATGAGTTCAAATCTGACCAAGACGTGTTCGCGATGAGGATCGCGTAATCTCCTGACACCCTTGCGACTCGCGACAAAACTCCAATGTCCGACAGGCCGCAGGAGGACGTTCCCCTCCCAAGCAAATAGATTTCCGACCGCAAGCAGTCGTGCTAACTCCCAACTCCGAAGCCTCCTACGCGAATCAGCCAACTGAACTCCGAAGCCTCCTCCTCCTGCTCGAATTTCTTTGCGGCTGTGTGATTAGGGGTGATTAGGTTAGAAAGTGCATAAAGAGACATTTCATTTTAAAAAATATATGAGCATTCTCGTTGTGGCTTTTTGAGCAAGCAATTTACAAATATAATTTAAACAAAAGATCCACATAATAATTTAAAAGATCAATATATATAGTCAAAACTCTACTACAATTGCAGAAGAAAATGCAGATAAACAATCGAAAATATAATATGAAAGAAAGCCAAAAAACATGAAGTTAGCTCAAAATTTACAATTGGATTCAAATATGTCTGGAAATACTATTAAAAACAAATTTACATGTTCAAATTTGTGCAATGAGCAGCCACAACATATTTATGAAATTCTCACAAATACCAGAAATTGCAGCTTACGAATATTATAACCAAAAAGTAAACACCAATATTGATCAATTCAACAATAGCAATTAATAATCTGACAAGATTATTAACTTACATTATATTTATTGTATTTAAAAAGAGATCCTCCAATGAAAAGCAAGCCTTGAACATCACAAAGGAGACTCTCGGGTATAAAATTAGATATCATATCAACCCTAATAAGAGTTTTTGGGCTAATTTCAAAGCATGATGATGATGATGCTCCTAAGTGTGAAGCAATCTGTTCTGAATTATCGAAAGCACTACATTCAATTATGCTTTGTCTCATTGAAGCTAATAAAGAGGATTTTCTAAATGATCGGGGTCTCCTCTGAAGACAGAAAAAGAGGAATTATATCAAAAGTTGTTTTCAAGTTCCGTAGAAAATGATCTTCTTTAACTCTAATTTGAGTAATAACTCACCATTTTGTTTACGGAAGTTGCTCGATAACACTCAAGAGAGGCTCATTGTTAAACAATCTAGGCAAAACCCCACATTTTCTAGCCGATTTAGCAACTCATCTCTAAATGAACTTCATTTTTTAACACCAAAAAAGAATGTTTTAATAATAAAAAAACATACTGGTAAAAGCCTATACTTAATAACATAGTTTTTTGAATTAAAAAAACTGAGTTGGTGAACAGTGATGTTGCACTGTTCACCTCGTGAATATAGCATCGCGTTTGGCCTTTGGGTGGAGCAGCTCATGGACGGCATACGTGCGTATCTCATTCGGTTGGAGTTGATCTTAGCCTTAGTTACTATATTTTTTAGCAAAATAATTAAAAAGGTTCAGAAGCAAAAAAGTAGGACCAAGTATTGTAAAAAATACAACATTAATAAAGAAATCTAATAGTACCCTCTTCATTAAGACTTCCCTCAGCTAATAGTTCTCTTTTATGACGGTTTCGTCACTCTCAAATTCAACCTATGAATTTCCCTGAGAAACAAAAACTCAGACAATAACGAAAAAAAAAATCATTTTTATTTCTTTATGCTTCCACTTAAAATACCTGCTGTTGAAGAAGTGAAAGGCGTTCCGCCTGGCCTTTCGCGAACAGAGAGAGAGAGACCGAGAGAGGGAGAGTCTCCGAGTTCTGGAGTAGGGATTCTGAATAGAAAAAGGCTTCGGCTTGCGAGCGGAAGAAGATAAGCTCGGGGTCTCGTCTCACGTTCGGTCCCGCAAGAAGACTTTCCCATTCTTCGAAGCTCTGTTATGGCTTAAAGCATCAAAATGGCAGTCTCCTGGATCTCTTAGAAAACTTCATCAGGCCTCTTGGACAGCCCGTGCTGCTTCAGACTTCAATTTCTTAATACAGGAAACAGAGAGGTCCATGCACCTGCTAGGCTGCTACTGCTAAAGCCATCTGATTTTTCTCCAAAATAAAAGATCACGTGATTGAACCCAAGCTCGACGGCAGGCTTCGTATTTCAAGAAATAAATCATTAAAAACTATGTTATATTTAATATTTTTAAATGTCATTAGAATGATCTATTATAAAAATTGGCTATATATGTATATTGAATTTAATTTCTATTTTAGCAAATTTCTTTTCTAATAGTTCATGTGCTGATTGATCAAATTTATACTTCATCAAAATGGTATGATAAAATTACACTATAGGATAATTAAAAGATGAATTAAAGTTTTATATGTCTAAATTAGACTCATTTACACTCTAATATTTAGAATATGCTTAGTTGTATGGTTTGTTGACATCTCTAAGCAAACATGCATTTGAGATAGTTTTTTTCACGGCTATATTTTTTTATATTTTGAATAACTAATTTATTTTTCTAGCATGTGTTATATTGATGTTAAAAAAATAAATTTATTTGAAACTCTTACATTATACATAAATATGCTTTTTATTGTTGATCTAAGTTTAAATATTATTTCAAGAATAATAGAAATTTATATTCTTATGGTTATGTATAAATCATTTATAAATATACAAATAGTGTATTTCATATCACTGATATAGCATGTCATAACTTCAAATGGTCTATCAAAGAATAATTTAAAGAGAATCAATGATTAGGAAGCGAACAAATCTAATATTTCTACTCACAAATACGTAGTTGAAGTTAACATTAAATATGGTAATCTTCTACATTCATGAGGTTTAGCTACTGATAAATGGAAGCAAATTATAAATATGCTAGAGATTTCAAATCAACTTGAACTACTTTAAACTTCATATGCTAAAAATAGAGAAGTTCATAATGTGAAATATAACATTTATTATTGTATGGTTCTCTCAAAGAAATGAGGGAGGCTATAATCAAAGCTTTATTTGACCAAAATATCTCTATGGCTCAGTTAGTATGAACAAAATTAGAAGAAGTGCTATATTTCAAGAAAGTTCTAGGAGTTGCACTTTCAGATGAAAATTTTCTATCAAGAACCACATATCATAATTATTTGTTTTACATTTCAATGAAGATAAACAATTTTAAATTATCTCATGTCCTTATTGATCCGAGTGCATCAATTAACATCATGACTCTTAGAAATATCAAAATCAAATAATTAAAAAAAAAAGAAAAATAATACAATTAATGGTTCATATGAATTAGGAATCTAGTTAGAAGGTTGAATCCTATGTTTTTGAGGAAAAACAATTAGCCGTAGAATATAGGAACCATATAGGGCAACCAAAGTTTAAAATTTTTATAGAAGCTAATATGGGTGAGGATATGTTCAAATTGCAAGGGAAGATATTTCAAATATATCTAACATATAAAGATTAAAGAAGTATATAAAAAATAAAACATTATCTCCACTATCCTATGGTGATGTAAAAGGGTGAGAGGTAAAGATTTTCTATAAACATTATCTCCACTAGACCTGATACCTCTTCTTTCCCATCCTTTGCTCATTCTACTGCTTAAAACTCTGTGGCGTTACCTTTCGGCTCTTCGTTTCTTCACACGAAAGATGACGTGGCAAGGCTTCTCCTCTTCCCCATCGTTTTTCTCGTTCTAATGCTTAACACTCCATGGTGTTACATTCCGGCTCTTCGTTTCTTCGCGTGAAAGATAAGGCGTTGGGGCTCCTCCTCTTATCCATTCTTATTCTTATCCTTAAACTGAATTAGTTGAATGTATACTCAAAGGATTTATGCTTTATTTGGGATAGTTTTTTATTTCTTTTTAAAATAGCTTTTTAGTAAAAAAAAATTAATTCAACAAAATTTCATTCTAAAAAATTATTTTAAAAAATAGTGAAGAAGCCATCTAAAACAAAGCCTCAATATGACTGCTAAAATCTATCCCAGAACAAAATATATATATATATATAAGTCATTATCATCATAAATTTTGAAAGGCAAGTGTCTCTACTTGGCTTAGAACACGCATAAATTTATGCTGAATCATTTATTTTCCCTTTCACAATAATCAACGCAACATCAAAAATCATGATAAAAGAACATTTGGAAAAGCTTGCAGGAGTAGCGCTGCAGTCATTATCTGCATCAATGAAGCATTTAAAAGATTCTATGCGGTTAGAAAAAATAAAAAAAATGCAAAAATGAATAACTTAATAAATAAATTAAATAATTTTTTTTTTTTTTAATCAAACTTACACATGTTCGATAGTAAGAAAAATCCTTCACATCATTCGCATCAATTGGATGAAAAATGAGTACATTTAGGCATATGAAGTTAAGTTTTTTATTAAAATATAATTATCTGAAATTAATTATAATAATGTTGTTTAAGAATTGAATGGCAATATAATAATTAAAAACTATTTCTTTATTCTTTTATTCATTCTTTTATCCATTCTTGCTTAATATATACAATGTAATGTTAATATTATGCAGTTATCTATTTATATTTTTTTTAACTGCAATCTTCTTGTTTTCCCAATGCTTTAAAAACAGACCGGACGCGGCCGGTTCACCAGTCAACCGTGAACCGCTGTATGGCCAGTGGTTCACCTAAAAACCGATTCTCTTCAAACCGGCCGGTTTGGCCAAAACCCGCCCGGGTTCACCAGTGAACCGGTCCGTTTTTAAAACCGGCCGGTCAAATTTTTTTATAATTAATTAAATAAATTATTTATGTTAATTCTTCTAAATGTTAATATAAAACTACAAATTTTAATATTAAAGACTTAATCAATTAATTAATTTAATCATCTCACATGATCTTCTTTCTTCACATTATACGCTAAGTCATGAGAGAAAGAAAAGAGGCATATAACAAGACAAAGTACCACCTTCCAGAGATGTGGGACTAACTATACAAAGCAAAAGCACTTTTAAGTTCATATATAGTTATACACTTATACACACTATACAACATAGTTTTTTAATAATTTTTTTAAATTAATTTTTATAATATGAATAATGTTTATCTTTTAAGTTAATAATATTAATATTTAATTTTTTTTTTAATATTTTTATTATATATATTATGAAGTTTATGTGAATTTATTTTTGTTCGTTAAGCGGCTCAAGTAAAAATTATAATATAAAAATTAATTTTTATGATTTGAATAATATTTATTTTTTTAATTTTTTTGTAAAATATTTATTTTATTTTTTTAGTTAATAATTTTTATTTTTTATCAAATGAATTATTCTTATGTTAAAAAATTTGTAAAGTTTCAGTTTTTCTGTTTTTCAACTCTAAAGATTTTTATATTACAAAATAAAATATTTTTTATTAACACATTTAATTATATTTATAATTTTATATTGAGAGTTTTAAGTTTTTAAATAATTTATATTTATAAATTAAATCTAAATATGTAATATAAATTAAGAATAATTTATATGAAATTATATGGTTATTATATTTCATTATTTTATCAATTTTGTTAATTTTTTTTAATAATATTATTATTTATTACGTCATCCGGTTCGACCCTGGTTCGACCGATCGAACCGGTCGAACCGTGAACCTCTCTTTCTTCCGGTTCGTTGTCTGGTCCAGTTTTCAGAACCTTGGTTTTTCCTGCTTATTTCTAATTTTTTTTGTAGACTATGATGTTTTTTATCTCATGATTGTATAAGATTTATCATCAATGTATGCTTGATGAATGTTATACATAAAATATTGTCTTTGATTTTTCATAATTTCTAACTACATAATTGTTTGGAGGCCTATCTAAATGTCAGAAGAGATATTCTTGGTGAACTTTCTTGATGGAAGATGATGGTATCTACATTTGGATAAAGTTTTGCAACTCAAACTTTTTGTAGCTGCAATATTTAGTTTAGACAAATGTATTGACAAATTTAATATTGCATATACTGAAAAATCCTATGAAGCAAATATTATGGATTCCATTACTGTAAGTTAATTTTGTTTTGCATTGTTCCATTGCACTTCTTGATTAGCATGTTATTTTATTGTATGTGAACTGGCCGATTATTAACAACAAGCTTATCACAATACCAAGTTTCAATGCTGAGGGCATTGGAGTTTAATAAGATTAGCTTTCATGACTACAATGAATTAGGGAATATGAATTGAAAACTTCTAAAATTAAATTTAAGACTATCCAGAATCCAATTTTAGCAAACTTATAATCAAATTGAATATATTACGATAATATATTTTCTTTTTTGCTCCAGAAATGTCATGAAGTTTTTCTAATTATGCTTATAGTAAGTTGCATAAAGAATTTACTTTATTTATGTTGATGATCTCAAAAGAAAAACCTGTTATGAAGGTATAAGTGTTGTTCAAGTAGGATATTTGTCAATTTTTTAACTAAAGAGCTAGGAAATTTAACTAAAAAGCTTGGACATTTGTCAATTTATGAAGATATAAAGTCTAGTTAAATAGCTTGGATATTTGTCAATTTATGAAGATAGAAAGTCTAATAGAGACGAGCATATGAACTATAGGACAGGCAGAATGTTGAACTGATTAGAGGAGCTAGGAAACCTAACAAAACAGTATATTCATAAGGAGAAAATTGAAAATATACAAAAGCAGAAATCAAAATATAAAATCAAAATATAACTATATAAGAAGCAATCAAATCAAAATATACAAAAGCAATTAAGCACGTATAAATTATTTACCTTATATTTGAAGCAAAAGAGTACAGATCCTTTGAAGTCGAAAGACTAGAGATCAAGAAACTAAATGCGAAAACAGGTGAGGATAGTTATATCAAATAAACGAAAACAAGGAGAGTAGCTTCGACGGTTACCCACCGGGGAAGACCGTTTGCAAAGGGTACAATGGCTTCATGTGTCTTCCAAAAAAACTGCAATGGGAGAGGCGAAGTTGAGAGGGAGAGTAGCTTCGACGGATACCGGGACGACCGTTTCCGGAAGGTTCAAAGGTTCCATTTGTTTTCCATAAAAAAAAAAAAAAAAAAAAAAAAAAAAAAAAAAAAACTGAAATGCGACAGGCGAAACATTACCGAAGGGTTCCACGGAGAAGACGAAGCTAGGGCAAGCGAACGTATGAAACAAGGTAGCGAAATAACCGGCTTCGGCTAGGATGCGAGAGGGAGACCGAGCGGGAGAGAGGGAAGGTCCGAATGGGAGAGGCCGGAAGAGGAAGGGGTTCCGCTCCTGGCTTCTGCGAACGCTGCGAGAGACGATGAAGAGGGAGAGCGGTCCGAAAAATCTGGAGAGAAATGGTAGAGTTCTGTCTGTCCGACTCCAGAGAAGCCGAAGACCTTTGTATTGCTGGGGCGTGCGTACAGAGGAGCAGAGCGAGTGCGACCTCTGCATCGATTTCCTTATGTGCGAAAAAAGAAGACTTCCTCCATATCCTCTTGGTAACGACACTTGCTTCAAAACAGGCTATCACGGACTGCAGCTTCTGTTAACCAAAGACTTCAGGTTTGGTTAAGCAAATCAAATAGGCCTCAATAGAAATTAAACACGACTGATTTGGGCTAGGTTTGGATTCAAAATCAAACTTGTCTTGACTCGAATTGAGTAGATTTGGGCTCAATTCGGTCCGATCACACTAATTTAATGAAATTAGACCCGACTCGTCTTCAATTTAACTCGAATTAGGCTTGACGAGAGCTAATCGACTCGATCGAACACACTCGAGGGCAAAACAAAATAAAAACGAGGTCAACAACAAATAATCTTGAAAATAAAACAAATGATTGAAATGTGCGCAAGATTTGCAATTTTTGTAGCTTTTGTCCTTCCAAATAGCTAGAATATAGAAATAGATGACTGGTATTAAATGTTTACGGATAATAACTATTATATTGTAAAAGGGATAATAGTCCAATTACCTCTCTTGATAAGAGTTGCTATTCTTTTAAGTTCTAAACCACTTATATAAGTTTGCAAATACTAAGACTAGTACTATAAACATAACATACAGTTGCATATTGCTATTTTTTGTTTTTTGAATAAAGAATACTTGATAAGAGTTGCTATTCTTTTTTCAAAGGTCATGATATTTTTATTATGTCTACATCTTAGCAACTGATGGCTCAAATGTTTAACTTACAAAACAATGTGAAATTTTATAATTGTATGTAATTTGTTCAGTCGTTGATGCAATATTTGACACTTGGAATTTCGGAATGCTCATTTTATTACTTCTTTTGTATGTTCTATTTTGTGTTAATTGCCTATGCATTAATAAACCAAAAATATTCTATGAGACATACTTATTTATTGTGTTATTTATTGCATCATTGTAACATGCTTTTATTCTTAGTTTCACAGTGGTTTTCATTCGATTGTTTTGATTGACTCTCTATTATTCTTGATTAAAAAATTAACTAATATTCTTTATAAAATTATTCTAATATAAAAAATTTATAAATTTATGTTTGCATATATGCATTGATTGATTTTGTATATTAGGATTTTTATAATTTTTAATAAGCATATTCTTAAACTGTTCATAAGTTGCACATATGCTTGAATATATTAGTGTTTTCACTTCATGTGCTTTCATAAATTTAAATAAGAGTTGTTTATTAGCGCTAATACCTTAAATAGTAAAGAAATAAATAATTAACCTGCTAAAGATGCAGATATTATCAGACATTTCAATGACATAAACAACTTTCAAAGAAAATTAAATTGTCAAATAAATACTAATATTATAATATCCTAACCACTAAAAATTATCATTAAAAACAAATATATATATAAATTTGTTTTGAAAATTCATGATTTCAAAAACTCATTTTGTACCAAAATGAAATGGTTATATATGAAATATGTTAAGGTTCGTGGAGTTTAAAAATGGTGTTGATTTTGTAATGTTTTGCTTATTATCAGAATTTTTTAAACTATTTATTAGATAATATTCTTCTAAATTTAAAATATTTATTATAAATTTTCATTGAGATGTTGGAGTAACTTGAGTAAAAAAAAATAGTTAATACATTTCTATAATTTCATCTTATTTATTCAAATAGCAAAAAAAAATTTATGATTAAGTTTGACCTATAAATCTAATAACCAAAATTTTATTTCACAAAAAATAATAACATTTTATATAGTTTTAATATAAATCATTCATAAATAAAAACATCAACATCGATAGCCATGGTTGAAATGTAATCATTAACCCTTTGGTTTTCTTTAAGTATTATTGTCGTTTAGTAAATATGATAGTAGGATTTATTTTGTTGTGGTTGATTTTGGATGTTCAATATGTTGTTATATAGTGCGTTGATTAGGTGGTTAGCTATAATTTTAATCAAATTAATCTTTGATTATAAATTTTATTATTCAAATGCTTCTTTTTTTTTTTTTTTGCTCAAACTTATTAACAATTTTAATGATAAATCTTGGTGCATGTATGCAACTCTTTGGAATGGAATGGACATATTATTTCAATATAATAGTAGTTAATAGTTTTTTAATAAATAATTGGAAGTTCTTTAATGAAATTATGACATAATTTTCAGAGTTATTAAGATAATGAAGGTTTTCTTGTAGTATAATTATTTTAGCTAATTTTGTGTTGTTTTTCTCATAACTGTTTTAAATTTGTTGGGTCATTTGAAGCATATGGTATTATAAGATTTATAATCATTGATTATTTTTTGATACTACACTTTCCTGAGCTATTTTCTGCCATGTGATCCACCTTTTATATGATATGAATTTTGTATTATTGTTAAATGGTTTTTGAAATATATTGATCAATAAAATAGAGATGTGATTTATTTTCTCATGAATGTACATTTTATAATGGAATTCATTTTTCATTGGCTAAAGTTTTATAAAAGCATTTATTCTCTTGCTATAATGTTTTTAAATTATGTTCATTCCTATTAATTTTGAATCACTTGTGAATATTTATATAATTCTATAAGAACAATTTGAGCTTCTATTATATTTTGTCTGCTATGGCACGAAAGCGTCACTTTATTAGTTTTTATTTACAATGATTACTATTGACATGTATTTTCCACTGTTATTATTATACTCATTACTAAATTTAAAGTTCTTAAATCATTTTAACTAAATTTATATTGAGACATTTTGGATGCAAAAAAAATTTATATTCAAGTGCATAAAAATATAAGAGTTAGAGGAAAGTGTTATTCAAGTGATTTTTTATAGGTACATTAATTCTATTGCAGTCAAGAATATGTTATTTGTTGCATATAATATAATATTTGTAATATCTTTTGCGTTATATTTTTATGAATTTTTTTGCATTATGATGTTAATGTCAAAGACAATCTAAACATGTGCAACATATTGAATATTAGTTGGATAATTAGAAATCAAAAGACTATGTGTGATGATTTTTTAGGAATAAAAAATCATAAGATAAATTTGATTAAATAATGAAAATGTTGGATTAACTTTCTCGACAAATAAGAGACTTAGTTTTAAAATGAGTTCCAAATTTGTATCAACAAACATTTTATTATGTCAAACATTAGTTTTTTATTATATATTTTTCATAAACAAAGTAATTATAGATTTTTTTTAATAAATTTATCGTAGAAATAAAGACAATAATATAGTTACTGAGCTTTAGATCACACTATCACTCCTTTATCCATTATCATTTAATTCTCCAGTTGCAATGGAATGAATGAGGAATGATATTATTAAATTAACTTCTAATTCATCACAGTTAATCTAATATATTTATTAGTTATAGTATAATTCAAAAAAATTAACAGTTATAGTAATCTAAATAATAATTATAACATTTTAAAGTTAGAAGTTTATTTATTTATAATAATGATAATATAGTATAAATATTTTTAATATGAATTTTATTTTTAATTTTTTATTTACGTGCATTTAATGCACTGGCAACAAAACTACTATTATATAAATCATAAAAAGCTAAAATATTTATATCGCATATTGCTTTCTTAAATTCTTTATGGGCATCTTTATATCTTTCCCAATTAGCAGAATTTTTATATATAAACCAATTTGAATAACAAATATTTTAATTTTTTACCTTTTCTTAAAATTTTAATTCCACCATCAATTATTTTTACTTTTAGAAGTTTTTTCCTTTGATAATCCAATCATTTCTTTTGCAACATGCTTATTATCACTAATTATTTTTTTCACATAACATTAACTTCTTCATGCATAGACAAAATCTTAAGATCTAATATCTTACTTTCAAAAATATTTTTGTTAATATTTTTTAAATGCTCTCATCTAATCCTAGAACAATATTTTATTTTATTTGTTATTTTCTAACCCTTCATCTTAAAGTCCAAAACTAATAAACGATGTTAAGCTCATAAACTTTCACTTGAAATAATGTTACAATCTTTGAAATTTATATGATCTATTTTTCTTATAAGAAATTAATCAATATGAGTTTTACTTTATCCACTCTTATAAGTGATAAGATGCTCAACTCTTTTCTTAAAAAAAGTATTAATTACTAAATCATAAGTTAAAAAAAAAATCTAAAAAAGGCTCTTAAATATCTCCTGCCTTCATTTATTTCAAAATCGAATGAGAAGCCCAACCCAAGGTTTGTGTAGACAAGGTGAATTACACTAGGAAGAATACCGCTAATATAATGTAAACAGTGAACAAAATCTAATTTAGAAAATAAGAAAACTAAAAATTAAGCATGCAACAAACTACTGATTTTTTTTTATCCTAAACAGAAATACAAAACTATAAACAATGAACGAAATCTAATTTATAAAAAAAAAACTCAAAATTAATCATGTAACAAACTACATTTTTTTTATACTTAACAAAAAAATACAAAATTATGAACAACGAACAAAATCTAATTTAGAAAACTAAGAAAAGTAAAGCTAAATCTAAAATAAAAGGCAAAACAAATCTAATAAAGAAATATAAGAAAACTAAAATAAATACTTACCTTCAGAGTTCAGGCGCCAAGACGGAAGAAGTTGATCGAAGATGGAAGAAGCCAAGAAGCTCTCATCTAAAAGTTAATCATGCAAATCCCGACTTGTCTCAAAGCCAAAGAGAGGCACCAAGACCGTTCAAATCAGATCGCCTTCCTAGTTCCTACCCAAAGAAACAAAAAATCCACAACAAACTCAGAAAAAAAAAACGCTCAAAGAAATCAATCAATCATGGATCAAAAGAAAGTAGAAGAAATAGTTACCATATAGTTCGGTTTCCAGAGTCAGGATTAATGGAGATCGGAACAGAGCAGAAGAACCATGGAGCAGCTAGAGAGTGAGGTCAGTTGAGGATCGTGAGGGACGTAGAATACGAATACTTGAGTCCGCCCCGCTCCAGAGTCGAAAAGCTTGCTCTATTCGTTTTTTCTTCGGAGAGAGCCCGGTTCTGCTCTGCTCAGACTCCTCAAAATGGCACTGTGC